GTAATCCGAGAAATGGTGGGCACAAATGATGTCATGCATCACATCCAACACCAAAGAATCAAATAGTTCGGACATCTCCGACGATTACCAACAAACCATCCAGCACCTACGATTACCAACAAACCATCCAGCACAACGTGCCTACCTCCAATGATTCGATGGCAACAAGGCTAGAGGGCGACCGAGAAAGACCTGGATAGATGGAGTCAGGGGAACATTAAACACCCACGGCATCCCCCTGACCCAAGCTCTCCGGCTGGCGATAGAGAGACGTCTCTTTCTTCCCGCGACACCCAAAAGGGTATAAGCGGCGGATAAAAGTAAAGTAAAAGTAAGTACATCGTATGACATTTATGACGCCTGCAACACAGAGAGGTCATATAACTTAAGTGACGACGACTAGAGAGGTGTTACTCATTACTGAAGAGTATTATACAAAGAAATGAAGGAAGAGAGATAGGGACGACAGATTTTGATAGAAAAGAAGAAACAAACCACACCGCATCACCCGCAAACAACCCACATTCAAGACCACGTCGATTGTTTGGGACTCGAGCCTGTCATTCTATTTGTTTTAGTAAGAGTTTTACGGTACTTACAACACAACATAATGTATGTTTGTCATTTAACTTAATGCTGAAGATTAGAGGTGTTACTAGAGAGTAATATACATACAGAGAAGAGGAAGAAAGATGAATTTATGTTGATTGGGAAGAAGGAACAAATAAACTACACCAGAGCACTCCGAGCAAACCGCGCCAGTCATTTGTCGAACCGTTATCTAGTATTATCTAGTTATTATGATGCATTATAACATTATGATCCAACCGAGCAGACGGCATGCTCAGGATACGAGTATTGAAGATAAAAACGCACATGATTCCCTAAAGTGGATACAGGCTATCGAGTTATTACACAACCGGGCTAGACGCTCTACTGCAATTTTCTAGTCTTGCTCAATCTCTTCCATTCAACAAAGTGTTACAAAGGCTCATGTGACTTTTTTTCACAATACATGTGCACACTGCATAAAAAAACCCATTTGCCGGCCTGTTCTTGAGCATTATAATAATTATAACTTAATAACCTTCTCCTTAACTCCTGGGATGCTAGGCAAGCTGGTACACAGAGTAGTGTCGGGTGATAATAGTAATAATAATAACAATAGTAATAATAATAATAATAATAATAATAGATACAGGGTGATCCCAAAAAAAATTTACAACTTTTTTTCTGAATATCTCGCGCAAAAGGTGTTCTAGAATGCTGTAATTTGGAACAGACATAATTCATTCAAAAGGAATATGTTTGATATAAAATCCAAGAAAAAGAAACGTGTTTTGAAACGGAAACGGCTAAAAGAAAAAAGCACCCAAAAAACGTAAAGTTCACCAATGTTTAAAATTCTTGTAAAGGAAGTCGTGAAAAGATTAGTTGACCTTTTTCTTTATTTTCTCTTTGACATTAATTTTCCATCCCTGTGACATTTAAACAATATTTAATTTCT